ATGTGTCTCTAGATCTGAAGTGGCTCTCTTGTAGACAGCATATATATGGTTCTTGTTTTTGTATCCATTCAGCCAGTCTATGTCTTTTGGTTGGAGCATTCAGTCCATTTACATTTAAGGTAATTATCATTATGAATGTTTTTACTGCCATTTTGTTAATTGTTTTGGATTTGTTTTTGTGGGCCTTTCTTCTTTCCTCCTTCGTTTGTCCTCTTCTCTTGTTATGTGATGACTATCTTTAGTGTTATGCTTTGATTCCTTTTTCTTTTTTGTGTGTATGAATTTTTGATTTGTGGTTACCATGAGGTTTTGGTATAGCAGTCTGTATATATACATGATTGTCTTAGTTGCTGATCTTAGTTTCAAATGCATTTTAAATACTTGCATTTGTACTCTCCTCCCCTCATGATTACTGGTTTTGATATATTTTACATCTAATTGTTTTGCATATCTCTTAACTGCTTATTGTGATGATTTTACTACTTTTGTCTTTTAATTTCCCTACTAGTTTGTTTGGATGATTTTACTACTTTTGTAGATTTTACTACTTTTACTACTTTTGTCTTTTAATTTTACTACTTTTGTCTTTTAATGATTTTACTACTTTTGTCTTTTAATTTCCCTACTAGTTTGTGTTTGGATGATTTCCTATCTTTACTGTATGTTTGCCTTTACCAGTGAGCTTTTCCATTTCCTAATTTTCTTGTTTCTAGATGTGGTCTTTTCTTTTCTGCCTAAAGAAGTTCCTTTAGCATTTGTTGTAAAGCTGGTTTGGAGGTGTTGAATTCTTTTAGCTTTTGCTTGTCTGTAAAGCTTTTGATTTCTCTGTCAGAGTACAAGACCATAAACTATAAGTCCATGTACTCCATAAACTATAAGATGCTGATTAAAGAAACTGAAGATGACACAAACAGATGGAAAGATATACCATGTTCTTGGGTTGAAAGAATCAATATTGTTAAAATGACCATGCAATCCAAGGCAATCTATAGATTCAATGCAATCCCTGTCAAATCACCAATGCCATTTTTCACAGAACTGGAACAAAATTTTTTAAAATTTGTATGTGAACACAAAAGACCCCAAGAGCCGAAGCCATCTTGAGAAAGAAAAATGGAGCTGGAGGAATCACACTCCCTGACTTCAGACTATACTACAAAGCTATATTAATCAAAACAGTATGGTACAGGCACAAAAACAGGCATACAGATCAATGGAACAGATCAATGGAAAGCCCAGAAATAAACCCCCACATCTACAGTCAATTAACGTATGACAAAGGAGGCAAGAATATTCAATGGAGAAGAGACAGTCTCTTCAACAAGTGGTGCTGGGAATATTGGACAGATACATGTAAAAGAATGAAATTAGAACATTCTCTAACACCATATACAAAAATAAACTCAAAATGGATTAAAGAACTACTGTCAGACCTAAATGTAAGACCGGACACTATAAAACTTCTAGAGGAAAACTTAGGCAGAACGCTCTTTACCATAAATCACAGCAATAGTTTTTTGGATCCCTCTTCTAGAGTAATGGAAATAAAAACCAAAATAAACAAACAGGACCTAATTAAACTTAAAAGTGTTTGCACAGCAAAGGAAATCATAAACAAAACAAAAAGACAACCTACAGAATGGGAGAAACTATTTGCAAATAACGTGACCGACAAGAGATTAATTTCCAAAATATACAAACAGCTCATACAGCTTAATATCAAAAAAGTAAACAGTCCAATCAACAAATGGGCAGAAGATCTAAATAGACATTTCTCCAAAGAAGACATATAGATGGCCAATAGGCACATGAAAAGATGCTCAATATCGCTAATTATTAGAGAAATGCAAATCAAAACTACAATGAGGTATCACCTCACTCTGATCAGAATGGCCATCATCAAAAAGTGTACAAATAATAAATGCTGGAGAGGATGTGGAGAAAAGGGAACCCTCCTACACTGTTGGTGGGAATGTAAATTGGTGCAGCCACTATGGAGAACAGTATGGAGGTTCCTTAAAAAAAACTAAAAACAGAGCTACCATATGACCCAGCAATCCCACTCCTGGGCATATATTTGGAGAAAGCTATAATTCGAAAAGATACATGCACCCCAATGTTCATAGCAGCACCATTTATAATATCCAAGATATGGAAGCAACCTAAGTGTCCGCTGACAGATGAATGGAAAGAGAAGATGTGGTATATATACACAATGGAATATTACCCAGTCATAAAAAAAGAGTGAAATAATGCCATTTACAGCAACAGGGATGCACCTAGAGATTATCATACCAAGTGAAGTAAGTCAGACAAAGATAAATATAACGATATCACTTATATGTGGAATCTAAAAAAATGATATGAATGAACTTATTTACAAACAGATATAGACTCACAGACATAGAAAGCAAACTTATGCTTACCAATGGGGAAAGCAGGGTGGGAGAGGGATAAATTAGGAGTTTGGGATTAACATATACACACTACTATATATAAAATAGATAACAAGGACCTACTGTATAGCACAGGGAACTGTACTCATATCTTGTAATAACCTATAATGGAAATGAATCTAACAAATGTATGTGTGTGTGTGTGTGCATGTATTATATATATATATATATCTGAATCACTTTGCTGTAAATCTGAAACTAACACATTGTAAATCAACTATATTTCAATAAAAATTTTAAAATAAATATTTTTCAATAAAAATGGGCAAAGGACTTGAATAGACATTTCTCCAAAGATGATATATGTGGCCAAAAACCATATGAAAAGATACTCAATATCACTAATTATTAGAGAAATGCAAATCAAAACCACAATGAGATACCATTTCACAACCATTAGGATGGCTACTATCCAAAAAAACCCAAAAAACAAAAGCAAAACAAACAAACAAACAACAGAAAATAGCAAGTGTTGGAGAAGATGTAAAGAAATGGGAACCCTTGTGCACTGTTGGTGATGTGAAATGGCACAGCCTCTGTGGAAATCAGTATAGAGATTCCTCAAAAAATTAAAAATATTACTACTATATGATCCAGTAATTCCGTTTCTGAGTATACACCCAAAGGAATTGAAAGCAGGATCTCAAAGATGTATTTACACACCCATGTTCATAGTAGCATTATTCACAATAGCCCTGAGAGAGAAGCAACCCAAATGTCCTTTGATGAGTGAATGGATAAAAAAGTGTGATATAAACATACAAGGAAATATTATTCAGCCTTAAAAAGGAAGGAAATCCCATCACATGCCACAACATGGATGAACTTTGAGGACATTATGGCTAAGTAAAATAAGCCAATCACAAAAAGACAAATGCTGTATGAAATATCTAAACTAGTCGAATCAAATTCTTGGAAACAAAGTAGAATGGTGTTTTCTAGGGCCTGGGGAGAGGAGGAAATGGAGAGTTGTTTAATGAATTATAGAATTTCAGTTTTGCAAGATGAAAAAGTTCTGGAGAACTGTTGCAGAACAATGTGAATAAAGTTAACACTACTGAACTGTACATTTAAAAATAGTTAAGATGGGGACTTTCCTAGCAGTCTAGTGGTTAAGACTCCACACTTCCTCCACAGGGGATGTGGGTTCGACCCCTGGTTGGGGAACTAAGATCCTACATGCCACACAGTGCACCCTCCCCCAAAATAAAAAATTTCTTTTTAAATTAAAAAAAAAGTTAAGATGGTAAATTTTATGTGTTTTTCACCATAATTTTTAAGGCAGGTAGATGGTTCCAAATGGTCCAGCTTGCACATGAGTCTGAGTATAACATGGAGAACAGGTACAATGGTATTCCACTATGAGTTATTACATTAGTTATAAATACAGAGAGTGCTGTTTTAGGGGGAAGAGAGTTTTATCTTTTTCACTGAAAGTAGAATATATAGCCTGCTATGGTTAAAATAAAGACTTAGATCTTCAAATGTTTTTGAGAGATTAGCCTGTCAGACTTTTTAAAAATGATTTCAACTATTGGAGTGAATCTACTAGCATATAATTACAGATGAAAGACTTATGGATAAGGTGAGTGTCTCTAGAGGATTTTGCTGAGCCCCAACCAGGGATGAGCCCCAAACTAGAGGAGCCCTTGGTAAGTCTATTTGTTCCTGGAAATTTAGGTTTTTTCTAATAGATTTTAAGAGCCCATCTAGTCTGGGATGCCTGCCTTCATCCCATTAGTCTTGGTATGGGATGAGCTTTTTGGTTATTAATGGCTCATCTCTCACCCTACAGAGTAGAGTAGTAAATCTACTTTTATTTCCAAATCGCCTTTGGCTAATATGGGATAACAACGGTTATCTCAATTTCTTTGGTTTTTATCATTTATTCAAAGGCCAAACTTATCCTACAAAGAGTGGCAAACTAATAAACTAACTACCATCATAATTTATTGAGCACCTACTATACATCAGTCACTATACTGGACAATTTGCCCATTTTGTTTTTTTCCCTAAACTACACGATATTAAAATAGATATTAATGCCATTTTACAGTTGAAGCTAAAAAAATTTAAGTTATTTGCCCAAGGACCCAAGCAGGACAGAGCTAGGATTCAAACTGAGATCTGCCGTACACTTAAGTCTACACTCTTTCTAGTACATTATATCACCTCCCTAGTCACAGAGAGTTATAAGTAGAAGAACTGTCTGGTCTACTCATTTTATTTCAAATGAAAATAAAAAGGTAAAATACTTCCTTTTCCATCTATTTTACTTATTTAGTAAAGAGTAGATGGCCCCAGGCAATCTTCTCTAAACGTTTCTGCTTACCCCTTCTCTTAATACGACAACCAGAAAAATATGGTACCTAACCAGAAAAGTATTATTAGATGCTGTAAGAATTAGTGCAGGTGCTCATGTAGTAATGTATTTCTAACAGTGTTGACCACCATTATTTCTATACACAAAACCTAATAGTCTTCATTGCACAGTTGATTTACTGAACTGACAAGCACTTAAATTCTAGAATTGTTAAGTCAGGATTTTAAGACTAGAACTAAATTATTTAATAGAGAATAGAAGAAAAAGTCATTTACTTAGAAATCCCATGCATATATTTTCATCTTACATTTCTCATAGCAGAAAGTACAAAATGTATATTCATTTTTCCATAATACCTAACAAGAAGAAATGCTTATTTCTTTTAAAATACTAAGACTACTCACTAAAATCAGTACCTGAAAAACTTTCACTATTTGTTAATACTGAAAAAAAAGTTCACATATGTTGCCACTTCTTAAGAATGAAGGAGACCTGACTTCCTGTTGCTGTTGTTCATCTGCATCATGTTAGAAAGAAGGAACAGGCAGGGGTTCCAGGAAGGTGTGATGCCTCTGAATTCGGTTTAGAAGCTGCTGTGCCACCGGTTTGAATTCTGTTTCCCAATGGAGTTTGTGATAGTTTTTTAGGTCTTGGTCAAAACTCCCATTCAGTGCTAGTTCTTCATCTGTATCAGAAAAATTAACATTACAGCAATTATTTAGAAACATAATCCTACTGAATTAAGTTTAATTTTTGATGGCATGAGTTAAACTCATCCTGGATCATCTCTAATTCCAACAAGGCTTTTTTTTTTATGGGAGGAGTTCTTTAACTCTTTTCTGTTCTTTACAAAAACTTTTAAGTATAGGTTAGTCTCTTAATTTAAAAAAGATAATAATCTTCTCAAAAAGAAAAATCCTAGACTGACTTGAGCTCTTACTTCAATTTATCCCTAACGTTTACATGTAAGTCTACATCCAAAAGTCAGATCACAATTTCTCAGAATAAACAAAGTATTAATAGTTTATTTCCTCATCTGCACATTAGAAAAGTTAATTACTTCAGTGGTTAACAGGTATAAAAGAAGTTAGGAAATCTTTGGGGAAAGTAGCACAGCTGAATTTGACACTGTAAACTTGACTAAAAATCAAATTGCTCATTTCAGAGCAGGCCAGACATACTTCTTTGAAAAGACAAAACCCTCCCCCTGCCACCTTATGCTCTCACCAATAAAAGTGAAAAGTGGGAGACTGAGAATCCTAAGGAGTACCAGAATCCCAAGTGAGTCCATGGATAATGCAGAAAAGCACTTGTAAAAAAAAAAAAATGCAATATTACAACCTTGATTTGCTTCTTTTTTTTTTTTTTTTTTGCGGTACGCGGGCCTCTCACTGTTGTGGCCTCTCCCGTTGCGGAGCACAGGCTCCGGACGCGCAGCCTCAGTGGCCATGGCTCACGGGCCTAGGCACTCCACGGCATGTGGGATCTTCCCGGACCGAGGCACGAACCCGTGTCCCCTGCATCGGCAGGCGGACACTCAACCACTGCGCCACCAGGGAAGCCCTTGATTTGCTTCTTACTCCAAGGGCACTCTGAATTCTGTGACTGTCATAAGTATATCCAACCCACGTAGGAAGACAAATGGCTACTGAGGTTTCTGCACCGACCTGCCACTGCATTTTTCTTTGTTCATATTGGACCCCATGTGAAGGACTTCAGGACAATGCACTGGCCTGCCAGTCAGAAGGTTGCTCTGCTACTTCCTAGGTCTGAGGCCTTCTTAAGTGGTAACCACTAAGTCCTAAAGTGACCACAAATATTGCTACTTGCATAATTCACAAACTTTTTTCATAAGGCCAATTAAAATCCTACCATAAAATGCTTCATTAGTGTTTACATCAAATTTTCTACCCTGAATATTTTCAGTACACAGAGTGTACTTTGGCACTATTGGTGTTAGTGTCACCATCCAGGATAAGATAAGTCTGGAATCCCAGTCTGTACCTTCCCCTCCTCTCCTCCAGCCAAGTGGACAGCTATGCAGCTCTGAGATAAGTTCCGGGCAGACACACACACTTCAGCGAGGCTCTCCATGGAGACCCCTGTAAGCAAACCTGGCTCTCCCTACCCATTTGATAATCAGGGCCTTGAAAGAAAGAGAATACAGATGGTGTTCAATGCCTTCAAAGTCCTTCACGTTGGGCTACTTCCAAACAAAAGGAGTCTGTGAGACTCTGAGTGCTTTTGAATTTCTAGATCTTCTTCCTGCTCACTCTTCTCCAGATTTTCTGAGCACTAAACTTTCATTAAAAATGAATTCTCTTGTTTCATGCCCTTCTTACCCAAGCAGCTTAGGGCTGAGGGCTGCCCAGGCACCCCACAGTCCTTTCCTCTGCCCAGGGCTTTTGGTTGGATTTGATGGTTTTAGCCAAGTCACTATTTTGGTGTTTTGGGGTTTTTTAATCTAACGTCAAGACTATGTTACTTTTCTTGAGGCTTAGCACATAATTAGTTAATCTACACTCAGACCCTATTAATTGTAAATTGGGTTAGGCAAGATAACAAAAGTGGCCAAATACCTATAGGTAAGATAAAAGCAGTCTCAAGTTTCAAAGTAAATACAGCAAATGCCTAAAATGTGTCATATTGCAGTAGGTATTAAATTTTGGAACTTGTACTGCAAAGAATAGCAGAGGCTAATCCAAGAAAAATTTAGGTCTATGATTTTCAAACTTTTTTTTTTTACTGTGACCTAAGAAGTCCATATTACATGATGACTATATACACACACTTAAATATTCATATACAAATAGCAAATATTTCACAATAGAATACTTACTTTACTTATTTTACTTATTTATATATTACTACATGTACTATATATTTTTTCAAATAAATTTATTTATTTATTTTTGGCTGCGCTGGGTCTTTGTTGCTGTGTGTGGGCTTTTTCTAGTTGCAGTGAGCGGGGGCTACTCATTGCAGTGGCTTCTCTTGTTGTGAAGCACAGGCTCTAGGCGCACAGGCTTCAGCAGTTGTGGCACGTGGGCTCAGTAGTTGTGGCTCACGGGCTCTAGAGGTAGGTCCAGTAGCTGTGGCGCACGGGCTTAGTTGCCCTCCAGCATGTGGGATCTTCCTGGACCAGGGATCGAACCCATGTCCCCTACATTGGCAGGAGGATTCTCAACCACTGCACCACCAGGGAAGCCCCATGTACTATATTCTGATATTCTGTTTCTTTGCTACTTCATTTTTTAAAGATGCTGGTCACAGTGTGAAAAGTGCTGATTTAGATAACCAATTATTCTTAAACTTTCTTTGTGCACAACATACTTCCAAATACTAGAATTTTAGGTAAGATATTAGAAAGGATTAAAGGACTCAAAACAAGTTTGTCAGTGACCATTATAACACAATCTCTATCTATTACAGTTGAAGGATCCTGCAGCAGCAATAAAAGCTTCCTCTACTCACTGCACCATTTCCTAGCTTGCTGTTCAGCACCAGGTGGCTCTTGAGGGTTCGATTATTGTTGTGACTATTATAAGGCACAGTCCTTACATGTTCCAGAAGCACCTGATGGCTCTTTGGCATGGGCTTGGTGATGTGATCCTCTAACTTGAACACTGGGTCCCCCTCTACCCCGTCATATAACCTAGGTGCTAAGTTCCACATACCACAGACGAACGTAAAATAACCTAGTGTCGTTTACTTCACAATAACAAACTGCACACACTAATCACCATTTTCTGGCAATCCTGAGAGAAGCTCAGAGTAGCCTAATGTGCCAGGACACACCACTTAAGAACTTCAAGATAAACACATTGCTAATGAGTTTATAAGAAGCGGCTGCAGTACATCAGGAAGTTTCAGACAACATTCTTTTTAAGCCACTTTTCTAAAAGACTGTCAACATCCCAACCACATTAAGGACCATTACTTTCTTTTTCCAGTTCCCCATCAAGAAAAAGTTGGTTAACTTATTACATTGCTTTATCAATTGCCCTACCATCATTTCTAAAAACAGTGCTCACACTTCAGTGTGGGACTTTTGTGATCTAACAGCTCATCCTGTTTTCAAAATGGCCTCTTTTTCAGCTATTTTTGTAAAAGAATTGAAATTTAAGTATACTCTCACTCATATATCAATTTCACCTGGTGCCACCCAACTGGCCAGACACAGCTACAACCCTGTCAGAAGTAAGGGTCTGATGCCCACACTGTGGAGAGAAGAGCCAGCAAGCAGCCGGTCCTCCACAGTGTGATGACCTGGCTCCCTGATGGACTATGTTGATTTTTGTTCCCCATGCCTCTGTCCCCTTCCACGGCAGGGTAGGGTAAGGGTATACTATGTAATGGAACAGCAGAAAAACACAGGGGCTAGATGTTTACTTTCTGATGAAGAGCCCTGGCCTTGCTACAATATGATCTTACACAAGTCACCTAACCCTCCTAGACCTACCTACCTCATCTGTCACCTAGCTGATGACCTTAGAGAGATCTTACAAGGATAGAATGAACGTGCTTTTAAAAGTATACAGCACTATTAAAGATACCACTATTGTCAGTTAATCCACAGGCATCAAGAACCTGCTTTGCACAAGGCAATATCCTTCCCCTAAAGTGTCTCCACTGGAGTGGGGAAAAAAAAAGATAAAAGTTACAAAACAATAATACAGAACAAGTTACACAGCTCATGATTAATTGCTATATAAGTAGTATAGATTTCCTATGACCATGGCCTTGAAAAGCTCATGGGAAGGGCCTGCAAGGACCGGCAGCATTGGGCCAGGTAGGTAAGGGATACGGCACGAGCAAAGGTACAAGGTTAGGGAAGCACGCGAAGCCCAACCCGGCTGTAGGGAAGGTTGGGGGAGGGAAGAGGTAGAAACAGGCCCGTTACAGTCGAGTGTCCGCCCGGTGTGCTGCCCCTTGCCACGCAGCCGGCCGTGCCCACATCCCTTCAAGGTGCCACACGGCCCCACCATTTTGTTATATATCATTGACTGCCCCAGACTTAGGTGCCAAAGCAAACCACAGACAGCCTGTGGTCGAGGCAGCTGCTGCCTGAGGCACGAAAGCCCGACACCGCAGGAAAGTGACTCACAGAACCAGTCACATCTCCCCAATGGGACACAGAAAGTCATGCCAACAACAGAGGAGACAGAGTCCCACTCACGGAGCGCGGCAAGAAGACTCGAGGCAGCTGAAGCCACAGCCATGCAGAAGCCCAGAGGGAACGAGGGGGAGGGAAGGGCTTTTCCTACAAGAGCTGAGACAGAGCACGGCTCAGTCTCAGCAGGGTGGAGCAGATGACGCCCGCTACTGAGGGGGCCACTCGGGGTCTCTGGTTCCACCTGGAACAACCTTCCTGGTCCTGAGTGCCTGTCCAGCAGGCTCTGGGCAATGCGCTTGTTTCCCGGCTTCCTTCTTCCCCGGACATCCTCTCCTTCAACTCCTTCATTAACCAGGGCAGAGGTTCTCAGTGCTGCCTGAAGAGCAGACTCACCTGTGGAACTTTTTAATGATGCAGATAATCAGCCTCCCACCCAGAGCTCCTGAATCAATTCCGGGGGATGGGGCCAGGACAAGTGTTTTTTTTGTTGTTGTTTTTGTTTTTTAATTCCACAGCTGATTCCAATGTTCTGCCACAGTTGAGAACTGAATTAAGGCAAGTTGAGCAGGCTTCTGCTCCTGGCAACCTGAGAAAGCTTCACGTCCACGGAGCAGACTGTGAACCTCAACGATTTAAAGTCACGCTCATTTTTCCTACTCTTATGCAAAATTTTATTTACGTGGAAAAAAGCAAATTTCACATCAACCTAGCACACCCGATTCTTTCAAATAGCTTCAGGTTCCGAGTTCCTGTTTAATAACGTGTTGTTACAACACAGAGTTTATGAAGCACTTTCACAACCGTGATTTGAGGCCTTGCTGTCTGTCAGGCTCTGTATCATGTTCTTTGTACAGGTCTGCTCATTTATTATCCTTACAAGTCTGCAAAGTGGACATCAATCATCCCCATCTTAGACATGAGAAAATATAAGCTCAGAGAGGTTAAGCCCAAGGTTAAAAGCTTGATAAAGCGAGGCCTTAACTCAGAATTGTCTGACTACAGCCTTCTGGTCTTCCTGGAGTGTCCTTAGGATGCTTGTTTGATTTTCACGACTCCCTGCAACAGGGCAGGGATATCACGTCCCCATTTTACAGACGAAAAGACAGGCTCTGAGAGATTCTCCTGTCGAGTCACCCCACCCCCACTCCCCCGAGAGAGGCTGGATTTGAAGCCACAGCCTCTGAGTCAAACCGAGTCTTTCCACACGGCCTTGCTGATCCAGCACAGTGCCTAGGCAATGGTAGGGACACCTCCGTTTTGGAAAAGAGATTATTTAAACACTCAAACTCATTTACTGACCCAAACCACTGCTGTTAGACCTAACCAAGGATGAAAAAATTATCCTAAAAGTAGAAAATTTTCAAGGTAAGACACTCTCATCTTTCCTTTGGTTTGCATCAGTGATTTCCCACCGTTCAATGTAGGGCCCCACTGTAATGTCACATAGTTTCACAGACCCTCCCTCACATAATTAACATAGATGCTAATCAACACGTACGGGTTCATGAAAAGCGTGACTTAATTCAGAGTAGCTTTCAGCTGTATTTCTCAATTCCGACAACGTCTATATACTTTTTAAACAACAGCAATACATTTATGCCTAGATCTTCTATTTATGCAGTTTACAGAAAATGCAAACAAGGGGGAAAAGCCACAGAAGAAATCATGACATCAGGCAATGAGTTAAAAGTCCTTGCATCCCACTGTCAATAACATTCAGCCTCTTCCAGAGAGCTCCAAATTATAATAATCTTTAACATGCTCTTGTTACTTATAGAAACAAAGCCACCCATACGCCTGCCAATCTTTACCCATACAGGTCACAGAAAAAAATTTTTTCTCATTTTGATAAAGCTCACAGACTCACAGTCAGGGTCTTACCTAAAAACGATGAGAGCAGGACTAAGAGTGTGTTGGCGGCCTCATCTCCAAAACATGACGAAGCACTGGTGATATTTTCACTGAAGTTCCATAAAGTTTTGCACACCAAGCAGGCCAGCTGCCAATCAGTGGGACCAAAATCCCTTAAACAATCCACTAACCTGAGATAATAAAAGTCAAATTGAGAAGTTATTAGGACAGGATCTCTTTTTAATTTTTATATTGTTAACATGATGCTTAACTTTCTGTGAGATTTCATATGCATTATATATAATTCAGTGTTATTAAAATTAATTTCATATCTACAAATTTAAGCAGCTCTAAAGTAGCAATAAACCTACTTCTGAATTATTTTAAACATCCAATGGAACCTAAATCCCCTCTTTAGCCCTACCTTGGCACTTCCAAATGTTGAAATACCTCTGCCTGGGAGGAATGAGGAGAGGGACCCAAGCTCCCCGGAATACTATGTCCTCCGAATCCTGACAGAGTCAGGACCCCGTGCCTTGAACTTACTTTTTAATGCCACCTCCTTCTTTTAGGATGACACGCTTGTCTTTATCCACGGTGAGATTTAGAAGAACACCACAGGCAGAAAAGCAAATATCCTGATGCTTAGCATCCAGCAGAGCAATCATGAACTTGTGAACTGGGAGGGCAGAGAACGAAGGCAGGCCAGTAAAGCTCAGGGGCCCCAGCTGTATTTCATTTCTCAAATGGCAAAGGGGAAATGGGGAGCAGCTTGCAAAACTGGAAACCCTGCTCGGGGACTCGGTCCACTCTTCCTAAGTGGACTTCACCCACTGCTCAGAAGCGCCTTCCCCAACATCCACCACTTCAGAACCTGCTCCCCGCCCCCCAGGCCCCCTGTCCCCTTATATTGCTGTATCTGACACAGGCATCAGCTCCCCCTCCCAGGCAGTGGTAGAGCCCCCACCCATGGAGAGGAGGGAACCACGGGCCTTCCAATCACACAGGTGCCATTCATTTCATCTCTACACAGGTGCCATTCATTTCATCTCTAACTTCTGGTTGTTCTCCAGGGCCCTTATGAACCTCCAGCAGCAACTTTCTTTAAATACACAGCCCTGGGAGAGGGGAGCACAGGCTCCAGTGGAGATCTTCCTGGAAGTCTTCCAGGGCCACAGTTTGTAAGAGAAGACTCGCGCAGACCGCAGGAAACAAGCCTGTAGTGAGGCTGGACTTCCAGGGTAGGGGATGTCTCATATCAGGACAGGCTCCCAGCCTTCCCTTACTCCTAGAAATGGAACTGTTTGTCCTGTCTTCTCATCCCCCAGCAGGGGCTGGGCAAAGGGTTGGGGGAGAATGAATAAGGTGCGTGCTCTGTTCTACTGCTCACCTGAGAGGTGGCCACCCTGTGCTGACCTTGGCCTACTGATGTGTCACACAGTGAGCTTGACAAAGGCTGCATCACATGTAAGTGTGTTTTTAAGAGTCTAAAGAATATACACTAGGGCTTCCCTGGTGGCGCAGTGGTTGAGAGTCCGCCTGCCGATGCAGGGGACGCGGGTTCATGCCCCGGTCTGGGAAGATCCCACATGCCGCGGACCGTCTGGGCCCGTGCGCCATGGCCGCTGAGCCTGCACGTCCGGAGCCTGTGCTCCGCAACGGGAGAGGTCACAACAGTGAGAGGCCCGCGTACCACAAAAAAAAAAAAAAAAAAAGAATATACACTAAAATGTTAACAGTTATCTCTGGGGTAGTGTTTTTTTTAATCTGTATTATCCAAAGTTTCTATCACGAACATAAATAATTAGGTATTTGTTACCATTTTTACATGAAATATTTAAGACATACAAACAGTATGTTTAGTATACACTCTTGTGTACCTGCTACCCAGTTTAAGAAATAAAACATTACAGATTCAATTTTATATTTGGGGGCAACCATTCAAATGTAACTTTGTCTTAAATGTGGAGTTTATCATTTCCAACTACATTTATACCCTATTCCATTACCATGTGAGTATTACATAAATAATATCCAAGGTTGTTTTGCAGGTTTTAAAACTATATTAATGGCATTATTTCATATATGTCCTCCGATTACTAGCCTTTTTGCTCCTATATTACACGTTTGAGGTTGACGCATGGTGATATATGAACTTCTAGCTCATTTATTTTCATTGCTGTAGAAGCTTGGTTGCATGAATATACTGTAATGTATTTATCCTCTTACCTGTTGATGGACATTTAGGCTATTTCCAGTTTTCACTATTACAAGCAGTACTATAATAGACATTCCAGTACATGATGGAGAATGTCTTTTGAGTCCATTCCCATGGACAGAAATGATGTGTACAGATTACTTGTTTCTCTTAAACACACGCACACGCACACACACACACAGGCACACATGCGCCATCTCAAAACTCAGAAGACCACTTGTGAAGGAGAGGGAAACGCTAAGAACACAGCCTAGGTCCGTCTTGGCATCCTGAGCTGAGAGCCTTACGGATGGACGGAACAGAATGTGAGGCACCACTTGTCCCAAAGCAGAAACAAGTATCACATTGTCATGACCCAAGCTGCAAAACTGCTCAGCTGTTTATTGGCAAGACATGCCTGTTTATGAATGTGAGTGTCATTAACTCACCGTTTTTCTGCACAATGAAATCACAGATGTCATGGTCCTGGGAGAGATTTCCAAAAACGCGCACAGCCTCCAGGATTCCATCCATGTTGTGACTCACAAGCAGCTTTAAGAGCACTGGGTTTTGTGACCAGAGAAATAAAATTATTTTGAAACTTAAGTTTCAATTTAAAGGCTATTAGAAACCAATATCATGCTAAATACTGATAATTTTAAAATTAAAACTGATAATAAAATTCCAACCATAGGGGACTTTAGCCAGTACTAAGAAACTAATGTGTCCCCATATTCAACTTTCTTAGAATTAAATCAGGCTCTTAGATAGTAGCACCAGAAATCAGAAAAGATAAATGCCTCCAGTTCTGTGTTTAGTTAGTAAAGTCAAAACTTTAAATGAACATGCATCTACCCAAACCCAACTCTGAACCTTACATTCAGCAATATATAGCTTTTTGTCTTGAATTATGGAATTCTTCACTTGGTAGTAAGATAAGTTGTTGATCGCTGCCGTAGTGTTGATCACCAGCTCCTCACAATCATCAATGGACTTAGATTCTGAAATAAAGTGAGGACAAGGGTGTCAAAGACTCACTGCAGGGCAGAAACCACAACATCCTCACTGCAACCCCAGCAGTGGCAGGGACAAGCCGTTGTCCCAGGCAAGGGCTGTGTGAGGGCAGTGTTTGCCCTCGCTGTTTGCTGCTTTATTTCCCATGACTCTTCCTGCAGGGAAATGCGCCAAAGGCAGGGGACCACTCTGGGCCAGGGTTTGGAACACTCTAAGCTCAGTCCCTCCAGCCAAGGGTCTGGAAAAGTCGGGCTGATCTAGTTCCTGTGTACAAAGGTGCCAACACCACTGAGCAGAGCTTGTTTGCCCTGACCCAGAGGTCCCCCGGGCCCCCCACCCTGGAAGTCTGTTCCCCAGACCTGCCCCCCCTCCCAAAAGAATGGCCCTCGGGTCATAATCCATCTATGACTCCTATCAACAGCTGCCTTCGAAACACGCAGTCTGATCGCCTCTCAGCTCCTCTGCTACCACCTAGTCCATCTTTCACCTCCCCATGGGCTTCTCTTCTTCTGCCTTTGCCTCTCTGAGCCTGTCCTCAACATGGTGGTCCTTTAAAATTCACTCAGATAACACCACTCCTCTCATCCGGCCCACAGGCCTGACCCAGCTGCCCCAGTCCTTACCTCCCTGGCCTCATTTGCTGCTCCAGCCCCCAGCTCCCCCCATCCCCACGCCAACCTCACCAGTCTTCTTGCTCTTTTTGAGCATGTCAGCCTGATCCTGCCCAAGAACCTCTGCACTGATAGTCCCCCGTCTGGCATAGTCCTTCCTCCAGTTATCCAGGCTCACTCCTCATGTCCTTTGGGCTGTTGCTTAGCTGTCACCTTATTGGGCATACTTTCCTCAGCCACCCTATATAAAATAGCACTGTTACTTTCCCCTCCCCCTCTTCTCTGTAACACATGCGACCACCTGACTTGTTATGTGTTTAATGTCTGTCTTCCAGCTCTAAGGTGTAAGCTCCACAAGACTAGGGACTTCTTTTATTCATCACTGCATTCCCAGCATCTAGAACAGTGTCTGCACAGAGCGGTGCTCAATAGATAACTAATAAGAACCTACTGTACAGCACAGGGAACTCTACTCAATACTCTGTAATGACCTACATGGGAAAGGAATCTAAAAAAGGGTGGATGTGTGCATACATATAAACACAATATTGTAAATTAACTATACTCCAATAAAAATTTAAAAAAAGAAAAGAAATCATTCCCTCTGGAATTCCCCCCGGAAATATCGACTAACAAAACAGAAAACTGTAGCATTTCAGTGTCTTGGGGTGGATCAGAATAAAGCCTAGATGATAAATTTTTGAAGCAAAATAATAATAATAATAAACTTCATTGTTGTAAAAAAAATAAATAAATAAGTGGTTGCTGAATGCAAGAATGAATGAATGAATGAACCCTTTAGCTTAGCACATAAGACCCTTAGTTATTTTGTCCCTGCCTTCCACTCAGCCTCCAGACTCATCTCCTGGTGACTGAGACCACAGTGCAGAGAAGGGCAGATGCAGGGATGCCAGTCCGGAACCTCCTGTGGTGTTCCAGATGGCAAATAAAGCTGAGGCTCGGGTGACGGTGGAGATGGAACAGGGAAGCCAGGCTGCAAAACTATTTAGGGAGGAAAACGGACAGTGTGTGGTGAAGACTAGATTGGGGGATGAGGGAGAGGAATCACTCAGGATGAGCTCTGGGTTTCTGGATTACATAATTGGATGGACGGCAATCCCATACTCTGAATTAATGGGAAGAAGGGCCAGGTGGAGGAAAGGTCATGAGTTAGACATCTTGAGGTGCTTCTCAAGTACCCACAGTTGATGAGATTAGGTAAGGCAGTTGGACATACGGGTCTGGGAGTCAGAGGAAAACGCCAGGAGTCTGGTTATACTAAACTAGCTATAGCAGCCTCTGCCTCTCACCTCTGACCCTGCACACGCCCCCTCCACTTCACCCGCCCTGCCCCGTGCCTGGAGTACATTCACTCCCCTCTCCACCCAGGCATCAGTCACCGCCTGACTGGGAAGCCCCTCCCCAGCCTGGGAGGGAATAACCTCAGTGCCCATACATGTCTTGAGTCCTGATTTGCCCACTGGGCTTTACTGGTTAAGAAGTGCCTTGTAACTCTTTTTTTAAAAAATTGAAGTATAGTTGATAAACAATATTACCTCAGGTATAGAACACAGTGATTCAATATTTTTACAAATTATACTCCATTTAAAGTTATTATAAAATATTGGCTATATTCCCTGCGCTGTACGATATATCCTCGTTGCTTATCTATTTTATACAGAGTAGCTTGTACCTCAATCCCCTACCCCATCTTGCCCCTCCCCCTTGCCTCTGCCTACTGGTAACAACTAGTTCTCTATCTCTATGAGTCTATTTCTGTTTTGTTGTCTTCATTTGTTTTCTTTTTTTGGATTCCACATATAAGTGAAATCATTACAGTATGTCTTTCTCTGTCTGACTTACTTCACTTAGTATAATACCCTCTAGGTCCCTCCGTGTTGCTGCGAATGGCAAAATTTCATTCTTTTTTATGAGTAAGGAAGTGCCTTTTATCTCTTGTATGAAACCAAAGTTCCTCCGGGATAAGAGGGAGGCTGTGAGCTGAGCAGGAGGACTGTGCTAGCTCTTACATTCTCTGATTTAATTCTCCCTCCTTTCGGTCTTCTTTTCATTAAAGAGAATGACCTTTTTACAGTTTACTCTATTCAAAGGGAAATTCAGGCATTTGTTACGCTACAGAAAACACGCACTGGCCCTTCAGCCAGTGGTTCCTCCACCCACAGCAGCCAGCATGGGTCCAGTACCTGGCAGACACTCAATGAATACCTGGAGAAAGAAAGAATAAATGAGGCCCTAATTGCCTGGTTTGTTAGTTTAAATACATGGGAAGGGAATAAAGAACAGAATTATCTTGGACTTCAGTATGGATTCTACAGCAAGGAAATATCCTAGTGGCCTCAGGTTTCTAGGAGATCTGTAAAAAGATCCCAGGTGTTTTTGAGGGAGGCAAGGTAAAAGTAGGGACATAGGACCCCCAAAAGTATCCTCGCTTGCTTCGCTGGGACTCTGGAGCTGGAATCCTGATCTTCTACCTGCTGGCTGTGTGACCTTGTTCAAGTCATTTAACCTCCTTGGGCCTCAGTTTCCTTGTCTGCAAAGTGGGATAATAACTGCACCTACATTACAGATTTGTTACAAAGTTTAAATGCGTTAATATTTGTGAAGGGCTTATAAAAGTGCGTGGCACACTGTGGGTGCTAAATAAACATCTGTTAATGAACAGGAGGGCTATCCAGAATGATGGCTCATGGGGAATGGCTTGATTGAATGTCTAAAACTTAGCAAAGAGGAATTCTCATCCCTGGTTCCCTCCATCCCTGGACTGATGACAAAAGATCTTGGGCAGTGTCTAGGGATCTGTTTTTTTCTCTTGCCTTGGTAGGAGAATTTATTAGTTTGCCCAGAAAAAGGAATGTAGCTCTTATGTGTCACCACCCCCCTGTAGGACCTCACGTTTGGGAGCAGGGATAACGTCTGGCATCTGGGGCAAGAGGAGAGACATTCACAGCTACTAGGCATCTATCATGAACAGCACCAAGCACTTTCCATGCATTTAACCCCACAGAAGTTATTTATTAATAACGCTTTAAATGCACTTACATTTAAACCCACAATAATTAATACTCTAAAGGTGCACCTGCCTCAGTCAGCTCAGGCTGCCATAACAGAATGCCGTAAACTGAGTGGCTCAAACAACAGGAAATTATTTAACAGCTCTGGAGGTGAAAAGTCCAAGATCAGGGAGCCAGTATGGCTGGGTTCTGGTGAGGGCTCTTCCTGGCTTGCAGATGGCTGCTTTCTCTCTGTGCCCTCATCTAAACCTAATTATTTCCCAAATGCTCCATCTCCAAATACCATCACACTGGGGGTTAGCGCTTCAACACATGAATTTGAGGGACACAGTTTAGTCCATAGCAGCCTCCTAATATCCCATTTTCTCCTCCCAGATGAGAACATTGAGGCTTAGAGAAAAATACCTTGCCTGATTTCATAGAGCACACATGTGAATCCAGGTCTGCCTGACTCATCCATCCTGCTCTTTCCACAGCATCTTGCTGAGTGCCTATTAGAGCCAGTTGGGGCAATAATTTGCCTCCAAAGAGCATGAGACACCCACCCAGCCCTCTGTAGCTGACTCATGAATATAGGAGAATCTGGAATTTGGAGATTCCACTAAGGCAGCAAATCGCTGCATCTGGGCGCTTGCTGAGAAGGCTGGTCCTTACTAGAAATATTTTTTATTTTAAAACACCCTCTGCAATGAGACTGGCCTCTGGAGGGGAGTCCTGGGGTACAAGCAACTCCTCTGTGAGGGGAGTAGGGCTGGGGAGAGGTGGAGGACAAGGTCCCAAGGGATGCCTTTCCCACGTGCCTGCGGGGAGGGTGCAGTGCAGCAAAGGTGTCAGGCTAGGAGGAGTGAGGACTAAGTGAGCACTGGGGACTAACAGGGCAACAGCTACCTTGCCCTCAGGCAAGTGAGCAGGTCAGAGTCAAGCCGGCCCTGGCCTGCTTTCCAAAGCCACTACCAGGCTGGCTAAGGGAGGCAGGTGCTCTGAAGACCAGCTCCCTCTCCCAGGATCTGATCGCCCTTCTGCACTGATGCAGGGACTCCAGGTAGGAGCCAGCAGAGACCAGTTTCGGGGGGCTTCGTAGGGCTCAGGACATTCATCCCTGCAGCTGAACTGCCAAGGGGAGGGTGCAGGCGTATGATCCTCTGTCAAGGTCACTTCACCCCACTACAGCTTTTCGTGGGAGGTCAAATCGTTCAGGAGATAAAACAGACAAGGGATCCCACCGCCTGCCCAAACAACTGCCCAGCATGGCAGGCTAGAGAGAAGGGTTTCTTCACTTGGGCTTAACCTCAGATGGCACTGAGCTCTAACATGCAGAGACTGAAGCATTCTCAAGTGAGACCT